TGGTAATTTTCAGCCAGACTGTTTTTCTGTTGCTTCATTAAAGACATTATAAAACTCTCCTCCCTTCCTGCTGCCTTTTTCCAGGGCAGCAAACTGAATTCAGCAATGATAGACATAGGATGTGGCTCAGAAATGGACAAGTGGGACCGAATATGGTGTTGCTTGGCACAGAGAGGAGATACCCATGTAGAAGGCTGGCCACTCAAATTGTGGCACTGAGAGTGACCTGAGCGTCTGTCTGGTCCTGCTCCCTCAGACCATGCAGGTGCGGTTAGGCACACTGTTTATAGTGCCATTGCCCTGGCCAGCCTGGCCCCACCATGCTTGGCTCCTGATAGACTGGAATGGAATGCCGCTGCAGCACAGACTGTGCATGGGCCCACAGAGGTTTAGGAGTGGCCCCTGCAGCTTCTGAGGACTGCCTTGGGAATGAAGAACTGACCTGGGGACCTTGAGGGTCTTTCACCGTTGCATCCAAGTAGAGCTGTGTTGAAGGAGTGAACACTTAACCAGTGTCCCTCATTGCCCATTCACAGTGACAGCAGCACATACCCTGCTTTCCTCCAAGCAGGCTGCGTGAAGGAAAATTCATTGGTAACAAGTAACTGTTGACTATTAGCTTCTTTATTAGTGCTACTGGTCTGTGAACATGTCTGAAGGGCAAAATATTTTGTAGGAAGCAAGGCTGTGTATAGGGAAATCTCAACCTTGGTTCTGTCTCCTGCCTGGGGTTTCTCCTCGGGGTGATAAGGCAGGGTGTTCTGAGTGTGCCTCACCATGAAAGCACGAAGGTAAGTGTGCTTACCATTACTCTTCAAGGCGTGTGTCTCACCCCCTGGATGGCTAGGAATACTTCCCAGGCCATGAAGTACATTAGCAGGCTTGGATGGAACTTGTTCTGAGGGACTGTTGGATTTCCATTAAATGATATACTAACTCAAAGCCTTTGTCCCCAAGCCAATAGGCAAAATGTGCGGCTCAAAGCAAGCAGGGCTGGCCTCAGGTCTGGATTCCCAGGTGCTCCTGCCTCACTCAAATAAGTCACCTACATCCTAGCACTAGGATACAAATTCTCAGGCTTCTACTGAAAAAAGCCAGCTTCCCTACAGGAACCCAGATACTGAGAGTGTAGTAAGATCAAAACTGACCCCATCCTCAGAACACACTCAGATGTTCAGTCATCCCTGGCTGTTGTGTCAGCAGCACTTCCTGGGTTTTCAGCAAGCGTTTGGCTTGTGGGTGCTCATGTAAGATAGCTCCTTGGTTCAGACGCTTAAATCATCCAAAGCAATAAACCTGCTCATCCATTAATTTGGCTTCCAGCTTATTACATTTGTACATACGCTGATGAAGATAAGAGGAAATAAGGTCTTGGCGTTTTATAGCAGTAACATAAGTGCTTCCTTCAAAACGGAAAAAGGTAAGTCCAAGTCAGTCTGCTCCTGAGGGGAGGCACCTTGGTCAAGAGGAGCCCTGGGCCCTGCAGCACAGGGAGATCTTCAGCACCAGCCAGGGAACCTTGGGTCAAGTGTTCTTTGGGGGGGCCTTTGTGGGGTAGGATGGCAGAAGTAGAGCTGAACACAGCCCAGCTTGGATGGCAGGGACAACTGGTGTTGCTGTTAACTCTGGGGCAAGTTGCGGAAGGTCCCCGGTGAACTTGGTGCCCAGAGGTCTGCAGAGCTTCTAGATCTTAAAGACCAGGATCCTAACCTGGAGCCAGGGGCTCTCCCTGCCCCAAAGCACTAACTGAAAGAACCAAGCAGTGGCGTCCATGTGATTTCCAGGCTCGTCTGGACATCTGTGTTTTTGTCCAGAGTAGCTTTCCCAGAGGCTCCCGTCAAAGGGAAAAGTTGTGCTAACTTCTCTGCTCTGGCCACTTCCCATTTCTATCCTCAGTTTTGGTTCTGATGTCCTACTGTACTTCAGATTCTTTTGCTGAGATTATGTGGGACAATCTGGATGGGTCTCCAACTTTAAAACCTTTGAACACAACAGCTTACAGAATGCTCTCCCTGGTAGAGGAAGATTTAACTGGAGCCACTTCCCCCCTTTTTCAACAATTTAAATCCAGGAAAAATCCAAGCCCTCCCTTTAGCATTGGGGTGGTTTTAGAGGCGTGGCCTGCCACCTTGTGGCCGAAGTTTCTGTTACAGCTAGGCTTCAACACAAAAGGCAAGGGAGAGCCTAGCCAGCATCCTGACAATGTCATCTTCCAGACAAGCCCTGTTTCTTTTAAGAGACAGTCTCACTTTGTTGCCCTTGGTAGAGTGCTCTGGCATCACAGCTCACAGCAACTTGGGCTTAGGTGATTCTCTTGCCTCAGCCTCCTGAGTAGCTGGGACTACAGGCGCC